TTCGGAATTTGAAATTACTACTGTCGGTATTAGAAATAAAAATTGTTTCTCGTCTACTTTACTCTTTTACTCTTTACTTGGTTTTTCGATTTGAAAACTTGATATGGGTATTTTTCACATGAATTTCTAAATCTTCTAAAAATTACATTGTCAAAGTACAATTGTATTATTGTAGCCAGCATTTTACCTCATTGGTTGTTCATGGTGGAACATGAATCACCGTGATGTTATTAATATTACAACGCTATTAATAGCTTCTGCATGTTTTACAGTACCTATAATAAGAAACGCCAGGGCTAAAATTCAGGCGACGTAAATTAAGATAAAGCAAGGAAGATAACATGTACCAGAAATACATTGTTACTGTTATTAGTTAGATTATGTTATATGGTTTTCTTCATCCCCCTAGATTTTTCTTAAAATTAAATCTGTGACATTGATACCTTTGTTTGGTAGTTCTTAAAGTCCAACGGATTAGCCACACATGTATATAATTATATCATAAAGTATAATTGTAATGAAAGATTTACTAAATAAAAAAATAGAAGGTAATTAAATATTTTTAAAATACTTTTAATTAAAATTTTCACTGTTAAGTACACTACTTTGATTTAATTTAAATAATTGTATTAATTAATTTTCCAATTATTTCACGTATTTTAACTAATAAAAGTCTGACCGAAAACTTCAGTGTTCCAGTAATTTTATACGCCAAGTACATCTGTAAAATTATTCTTCCATAAATTTATTTAATTGTGACTTCTCACGATGCTTCCTACACATTACAAGAGAAATGCGTGATCTCAAATGCTCAGAACTACACGAATATACGCTTCTACTACATAACCGCTCAGTGTTTTGGAGTGTTTGGTTACGAATTAGTAAACAGTGTACGAAATAAACAGTGTCGTATTTCGATATCATTAATTAATCGAAAGAATGTTGACGGGAAAAAAATTGAATATGGAAAAGTAATCGGAGTCGAGAGGAAGGAGGTCGCGAATATGTTACAAAAAAATATCACAATCATTCACAAATACAATGGGAATGGCATGAATATACTTTGGATATGTGTAGTAATTTTGAAAGAAAGGAAAGAAATACTGCAATAGAGTGAGATACAATGAAAGTGTTGATAAATCGTATTCCTACATAAAGTATACGCCAAATTACTTCTTCTAACACGTTATGTAGTCAGAATCCATGTTTTGTGGGCCCTTGATACCGAAAAATCAATTCACGGTAAAACGTCTGCCTGTCTATCCGTCCGTCTGGGGTCACCGTTAGCGACTTAAGGTGATTTTCTCCAAAGCTGATATTTCTTGGTCGATTTAAATGAACTCAACTGATACCTTCTGAGTTTGAAACGGATATTTTGATTTTGCGGGGCACTTTACAATAAGACTCACAACATTTTCAAAATTTTCTCAAAAATGGCTCCAAATTTTTTCATTTAATTTTGTCGTCCAATCGCCTACCAGACCCTTAAAATAATGATGCAGGTCTCATTTCGATGTAATCCCTATTTTTTCGAAAATTGCAAAAGTCATTTTTTTCGGCGTCATCCTTCACTACGATATTGAAGATACAAGTTTTTTCGTAAAATCTGTTCCTTAAAGACAGATCTTGAAGTAGGTCAAGTTCAATTTTTCAAAACTATGTGTAGTTTTCGCGTAAATTTGTGTTAAATATAGGCATTTTAAATTGTATACATTTTTTTCTCAAAAATACTCCAATTTTTTCTTTACATTTCTCTTCGTATGTATCAGAAAACCGTAAATAAATTGGTGCCGATCTCATTTCCGGTAAACTCGCTATATTTTCGAAAATTGCAAAATTTTAACATAGCAAAACTACAAAATTTAAGTTAGAGACATTTATCTTAGACAATATCTGTTATATAAAAATCAGCTTTTTAAAAAGGTCTTGTTCAATTTCCTGAAAAAAATAGTGTTTTTTGCGAAATTTATACTTGAAATTAACGTAATTTATTTTTTTAAAAGGATTTTCTCAAAGTCCGATCCAAATTTTTTCTTCAAATTTTCTCCACTGATAGAACAAGGAATGCTTAAAATAAAATTTCGTTGAACTCTGAATTTTCGAAAATTGCAAATTTAGAAATAATGCGAGAATGTATGTGCCGTTTAACTCCACTAGTTGGGATTGATGTAGGTTTCAGGGTATATAGTTCTCATACTTAAGTCCATGGTGGCTCTACTAAACAAGACTGTAGAATTTGAATATCCACAGAGGTGAATGGTCAGAAGATTGATAAGTGTTTATTTCTGTGACTGACTACTGGATTAATGTATCCTGGATTCGAATCCAGTTCTGAGGTTATCTTACATCATTGTCAATGGAATTGCTTGGATTAGACTTATCTATATATTAGTATTCTTGTTCACTCTTTTTATACCCAGCTTGTCTCTATGCTTTAACATTGAAAAAAATAATTATTTAAAATAAATTTGAATTAAAATAAAAACTCGACTTAAAGTAAAATAAATAATTAAAAACACTTCAATAACTAAACGAAAATAATTTTCAATAAAAGCGATGTTAAGAACCACAAAAAATATACTATTTACGCTTAGTTGAAATAGCACATCTTTTAGAAGGTCGTGTGAAGAACACATCTAGTTCGGCGTGCCACAGTATCATTTTATTTCACAACTTCTCTTTTCGCGAAAAATCGAATGTAAAATTTTGATATTATTGAAAGCAGGGGCTTACCTTAATCAATACAACATGCAACCGCGATCTGCATTTGTTTTCTAACACATATATTGAGCAAAATTTGCCATTAGTGCGTTCTTCACCAAATATACTTGGGAAAACAATATGTGACTTTTTTTGGACGTAGCTTCTTTTCCGTGTTTCGGGTCGATTATATTACTTCCAGTCAGGGTCACTGCTGTAGTCATTGGTCGCGTAGGTGAATTACAAATTCCGAACTGGAGGTAGTGTTGCGCCCTCCAGAACATGAGATCCGGCAGTGACCTACACTTCGATTTGTAGGTTATCCTTCTCCATCTGGAGAAGCTGACATAAATATCTACCTCCGTCAGCAGGACACAGTCCCTGCCGGAAAGATCTCAAAGCTCCCGTCCGGCTGAGGTGGCTCAGGGCATCAACTGATGTCTCTGTTGTGCCTATGAACGGGAAGTCGTAGGTTCGAGTTCCGACCGTGTGGCGGGATTTTCAACACTAGTCAGATAGCTAGTTCTCTCGCTGTCTGGAAGAGTATTCTAGCCGCCGGCTGCTCTGATCGGTAGTTTTCCGCGTTTCCCCGATCAACGCCAGGCGAATGCTCGCGCATTCGCCTGGCGAACTCCAACAAATTGTCCTCGCGTGATCTTTCCTTACTCTTCATTGTCCTATCCTCGTTCCTTACTTGCACACTCTTACACTTCTATACACTTCACTACCACACAGTCGGGAGCTTAGAATTCGTTGCAGCTAAGTCGCAGTACCGCTGAAGGAGATACCTGAAGATGGAAACACTTCAAGCCGGCGTGGAGGTCTGCAACAAATCTCACGTTGCACCTCCCACAAAAATAATCGAACGATCGAGAACGAATCGAGAATTCTATCAGCCGACTGCTCCGATCGGTAGTTTTTTCCTGGTTTCTCCCATTAACGCCAGGCGAATGCCGGAACAGTATCCACACAAACGGGTCACGTACCACGCACGATTTTGGTTCCCCTTCTTTGTCCTACGATCGCCCCTTAGTTACAGATACACTCACGTGGACTACACTATCGCACTTGTCGGGGGACCAGTGGGGAACTTAGAACTTAACCCATCTGGGGCGGTGCCTCGCTTGTGGGAGGATCCTGGTTGGGGAAAAATCCCGCAAGCAGACGAATCTCGCCGTCCAAAGGGGGAAGGTGACTGCCACCTCCCGCGGTAGAAAAAGGCACTACACGCACGGGACTAATGACCTTCGCCGTACACGCTGGCGAGGATTACTAATCAATCAATCAAAACTCAAGCTCCCGACATTTAATGGTATCTTAATATGTATATTTATTTCGTTTATTCGTCGGTTAGTTACTAGGGGTTAATCGCCATTATTAAGATATTACATTATATTATACGGTTAATAAATAATTAAATCGATTACGCCGGGACACATTGATCCCCGAAATGAACTACAATTTTCCGCCCAACGATTTGTCAGACATAACTGATAAGTAGCGAACCTAGCGAGCAATGACAGCAATACGTGAGTAGTTCGCTGCAGGAAAGGTTGTCCTTGTCGTTGGCGAAAACAGCGTGGCCAAAACTGACTAAATTCTTTGTTGTTGTTGTTTTTTTGTCAGTAACATTCAGTGCACGGCGACACACTTTTTTTCAGCATATAAATAGTGAATATCTTTCAATAGAAAAAAGTCACGTCAGATTTCCACCTAAACCTGTTGAAAGGTCCCTTGTTAGTCCAGGGCAGTACAATCCCTGCTTTCAAGAGCATTCTGTACTCAAGAGCCGGGCGTCTGCCCGCGATAACGTCGAAAATGCAATTATGGGGCATAAGGAAGTCTTTAAAACTCCGAAGTTTAATTTCTTAATGATATTTTGAACAATGTTTGAAACGTTGATTTAGGGAAAAAAAGAAATAATTATTCAGTATCGAAGCGCGAAATGGATATCGAAAAAATAGTTTCGTTAACGAATAAAATGTTGGTGATATACGTCTGGAAAATCGAAAATCGATATTTCTTCATATTTTCGGTAGCGTAAGCAACTTTCAAATTGTAAAAGATAACAACCATCAGCAATCGGTTAATACATTTTCCTCTTTCCTCTAGCCTTAATTGATAACATTCTCTTAGCAATGGATTTCGTGATTTTTATAACTCCCAGTTTTTACTTAATCCATTGATCCAAACACATCTGTGTGCAGCCTTAAATGTGTTGAATTAATCACTCACTCTTCTTGAGCTCTAGCATACGTGCTAAAAACACTAAACTTCACGTGTGATTACGGCTCACTTACCTGAATACGTTGGAGAAGAGAATAGTAAGTATGTTCAAAGATTTTGCGTCTCTTGTGCCAACAGCAGGGCTTCGCCGGAAACGTTATCTCGTAATGTTAAGGAAGTGCGATAGAACTATTGAGGAAGTGGTGAATAGAGGGAATTTCTGTAAGCAATGTGGGAAGACAATTTCCTGTGATGTCTCCGTTGCGCATATATTGGTTATTGACGAGTTTCATTCACTTTTTTCAATCTCAAGATTGAAACTTACTCTGATTGTCACATTTCCAAAGAATTAGTAATTTCATTAAATGCTTTTATTTTGACTTGAACTGTTTATGATCAAATATTGTATATTGATTTACGAAACTTTGATAATGTAAATATTAAACTTCGATGAGTCTAAAGGTCATGTGGTTTGGGTTGTCACCAACATGCCTCCCAAGCAATGATATAAAATAGAAAATTTTGAAAATTTTCATATTAGACCAATCACGTAGATGCAGACCCATTTTTAAAAAAATGGGTTTCAGTAGTATATGAGTATATCTCAGTCACTTCTTTTTCGTCGTTTGATCCAGAATACAATTTATTTGCAATATATTGCGACCATCATTATTGTATTCTCTGTCGATTTGAATTAGTCTTACTTGAATAAACTTTTTTCAATTGTTAATAACTTTTTGTACCCCCACCTCTAAATTTTCGTGATTTTTGATAAGGAGTGGTTTATCATAAGACGCTAGCGCGAAATAACATAACGTGTTTTGAAAAATCGATGAATTGTTTTTCGACTTAGGGAACGTTGTAGGATAGAGTAAAGAACGCTAAAGAGAATTGTGCAGGTTTCATTAGTTGTATTCCTGGTTTTTGAAAATTGCAAGAGTGCCATTTTCTGGGGGCGTCTTCGTACGACTATAATATTGAAGGTAGATGTTTTTCCTCAATGAAGTCAGGTCCTTAAAGATAGATCTTGAAATAAGGTCAAGTTCAATTTTTTGAAAATATGAGTAGTTTTCGTGTAATTTTTCGCGAAATATAGTCAATTTCTGAAATTTTTTAACAATTTTGTTTCTGAAAACTTGCTCCCAATTTTTCTTTAAATTTCTTCTTCATATGTAATAAGGGACAGGGAAAATATGGTGTTAGTCCCATTTTCGACTGTCTCTTCGTTTTTTATGAAATTGCAAAACGTTAGCATTTCAAAATTACAAAGTTGAAGATAGAGATTTTTGTCTCAAAGTATGTAGTAAAAAATCAGCTCACTGAAGGTCTTGTATAATATTTTAAAAAACAAGTGGTTTTCGCCTAATTTGTTCTTGAAATTGATGCAATTTCTAAAAAAATTCTCAAAAACCGTTTCAATTTTTTTCTTTGAATTTTTCCGCGAAAAGAAAGGACGCTTAAAAAACGTCATTATCATTGAACCCTCCATACTTTCGAAATTGGCAAAAACTTAACATTTGGATTCTCCATAATAGAAAGATGGATGATATTTTAGTCTTAAACCAAATCTGTTATTAAAAAAATAGTTCATTGAAAAAAGAATGTTCATTTGTTTAAAAAAACTAGTAGTTTTCGCAAAATTTCTGCTTGAAATGAGTGAGTCCCACCAACAACGGGCCATGAAAAACAGTCCTTTGAGAACAGAAATCGATCAAATGATTATTAATTATTCACTTAATTTTTGTTATAATTTAATATTTAATATCTCGATTCTATTTCGATTTTTACTCTATTCTATAATTTGTATTCTCAATGCATGGATGTATTTCCTTTCAAGCAGTTCGCGACCCTTAATTGCATTTAACCCAATTAGGTTTAAAGCAAACGATTTTAATGAGCTGCTTTTGACAATAAGGCAGCGATGCATATTTGAGATATTCATTGTTGATCGACATAATGGGAAACCTAAGATAAGGCTTTTTTATTTCCTTAATGTTAGTGTTACTATGTTCTCTACGTTCAAAAAATGGATTATTCAACTTAAAAGTCGGGAAGAATGTATATACAGATATACATATGGTAATGACATCGTCGAATGCATTCATAATGCGGTATATTGGTTGACCAAAGGTTCTGTACGATCAATTTATATGTGAAATTATTCTTCCTTGTCTGCATGATGTGCTGGAAATAATTTGAGAAAGTATGTGCTGTTGTATCACCACTACATCAATGTGGATAAAATGTCTTTGGATAATTGTAAATAAGCATTTCTGTTTCTAATTATTTTTATTAAGAATTTATATTATTATATTTATATGTTGTATATTTTATAATATATTAATGTGACAAAATGTAGCACCATATAGGACAAGTAAAATATGGTCTAATTACTGTTTTATAGCAATACATGCCATATTCAGTCTCGAATTTCGGATTTTGATATACAATGAGATACAATTTAGGAATTGTAAACTATTTTTTAAACTTTTGTTTGAATGTGTTTCTTTCTAAGTTAGTTTTTGAGCTTATAATACATCCAGATTTTTAATAGGTACTTTATCTGCTAACCATGGTATTTGAATATTATGTATTAAAATAAGTAGTGTTGACGACAGAAAGAAACCATTTTAGGTGTGTTTAATCTATGTTTATTTTTATTCTCCATTTTGTCTCGTTTAAATGTTTATGATCATTTTGTATTTTATCGAAAATAGTATTTACATTTTTATGGCCAGAGAATAAAAAGGTGTCATGTGCTTACAGAGCCATGTTAGTATTCTTATGATGTCTGACGTAAAGATAAGAGTACGTAAGTTCAATAATGTATTAGAATGATATCATTGCATTCACTTCCTAAATTCGGGTTGAGAGATTTAATGATCTTGTCTGTTAAATGTCCGTGAAAGCCTTGTTCGTTTATTTCACTTTATGTACAACAAATCAGAGAAAGATTTAATAAAACATAACACAAAACGAAAACAAAGAATTTGCCATATAAACATATTCCTGTCCCTTGGCAAAAAGATTTATAAAAGGCAGAATTTAAAAAGAAAAGAAAAAAGAAATTACGTAGTCAAGTAAATAAAAATAATTAAAAAATCTTGATTGTTTTGTACCAAGCCCAAAGTAACCAGTCTTCGTGGTATTTCGAGCGCGCTTTGTACATAGGTATCATGCTACATCTTGCGCGCGTATACCCACTTCTGGAGTTCGAATGAAAATAAGAGCGGAGCCAGGGAGAATTGCCTGTGGTCCCAGGAACGCCGGACTTCCCAAGCTGACAAGAAACTCGTGCGGGCGTTGTTTGACAGGCCAGGTTCAAACGAAAGTTCGATGAGCCATATTCTGGCGAAGAATTGTCATCGTCCTATCGGCAAAAAGTGTCTTGTCCTTGCCGCCATGTCATTGTTTGCTGTCTTCATCATCTCTGCATAGTTTCTGAACTGTAGTTCGGTTTGAAGTTCTGAAATCATCGTTCTAGGTCTCTCTCCTCCTCGTTTTCCAATTATTTTGTAACCCGAAATTATGCTTAAAAATTGGTTATGTCTGAAAATGTGTCCAAATAATTTTGCTTTCCTGTTCCGAATGGTTTTAGTAAGGATCTATTCTCCGAAGACACGAGCTATATCTAAAAATATTGCTTGTGTGTGTGTGTGTGTGTATGTACGTGTGTGCTTTTTATGCTGATGAAAAGAAATAGATTATCGACAGCAGATGGCTTCTAGAAATGTGGGCAAATCTCTTGCTGGTTTCCTTCTTCCGGTGCTCACATATGTTTCTCTAGTTGAATGTGGCGTCGTCGACGCTGTAAACTGTTTTAAACGTTTTTTGTTTTTTTTCATGTGATGAAAATTTCTAAATGTGACGCATAGCTTTGTTCAAATAAATTCTTACAATCTCTAACATTGGATAAACCAATGAATCGTAGTAGCTGATAATGTTATACTCCCTCTCCAAAATTCCTAACTCTCAATGACTTTATATGTTATCTCCGTACGGAATATGAACTTGTAATATTCCAAACTCAAAATCATAATCGCCGTAAAACAAACCTACAGTAAATGGATGATGCGGATAACTAGAATTTAGTACAACTACATTTTGTACGCTTTTGTTTGCTAATGTGCACAAAAATGCACATAAAAGATCACCTGAAAGCTGTTCTTCGGCGTTATTCTCTGAAATAATTATAGACGCTGTCATTGCCAACAATAGTATTTAATATAAGAGCAGCTTTCGATGGCTTAGCCATCATCATCAGTTGTCTGCTGGATGGAAGCCACAAAACGACTACCTCGATGGCTAAGCCATCGAAAGATGCTCTTATATTAAATACTATTGTTGACAATGACAACGTCTATAATTATTTCATGAAAAATGCCAACGATAACGCACCACAATACCTATATGTTATTCTCTGATGCGAATATAAGATCATTCTCAATTTGTTTCGAAAATTCTGTCACAAAATCTTCTACAATAACATTTAATTCTTCATCCCATTTGCACAATTTAGATAATAAATTGCAAAATCGAATGAGCATGTTCATACGCATTCTCTAACATTACTGACAGTTCTGGTTTTCTCCGTATTCACTTGGCGTTCTTCAAATTTAATAACTTCCAAGGTAATACTGCACGTAGGTGTTTGCAAAATTATTATTAAAAACACGGTAATACGGACAAAATACTTCACTTCTTATATTCAATGCAGCATCACTTCTGTGTTTCACATGTTCCTGGTGACGTTGGTCTAATTCTTAGTCTACCCGCTAAGATCGCAGCGCTAAAACACGCAAAAACACATTTTCGAAAGTTGTTTAGAATCATCTGGCCGGATCCGAAAACAAATTATCAGTTCTCCACCAGGAGATCGAGACCCGGCGAATGACATCTCATATGTCTCGATTGGTGCATGGAGAATAGCCTAATCGTGAGTGACGGATTAGCATAACATGCACACTCGCAGTAACTCAAATACTGAATTGGGATTAAATGAGCAATACAAAAGTTGTCGTCTTGAAAAAAGTTATTGCTTAGAGACATTCCCAAGCGTTTGACAGGAGAAACGGAAGATAACAAAAGAATGCGTGAAGAACAATAGAAATGCAGATTGCTTGCAATCATTAACAGCAAAGTTTTGTGGATCCATTTAAGTTCCAAGTTTATTTAAAGATGTATCAATTGTCAATTCCAATACAATAAAAAATAATAGAGCACACAAATTACAACACACACTAAAAATTATACAACTGCCATTACTTTCATTTTATCTTTTAATATTCAACTATTAATTCCTTCGGAATTGCAAGTTATAGATTCTCACGTTAAATGTATTAATACACACAATTATAAAGACAAAACTGAAGCGGTTTCTGAGAGAAAATAAGTATAAATTGCATTTACTTTAAGGAAAAAAATACGCGAAAACCACTCTTTTTTCCCAAAGAATAGTACATGACCTATTTTGAACCAACTATTTTTTTAGAACATGTTTCAATAAAGTAACAAACAAAGTGGTTGACCAAATCGTGCATTTTTCATCTGTCACATTTCATGTATCTACTTTCCTGGCACTTAAAGAAGCTTGCACTAGTTTCTGAAGATAAATATTGCTTATTGTTTACTTAACATTCATTTAACTTATTGTTAATTTTGAAACTGATGTATATTAATGGAAGTGTAGCAAATATATTATACTTTAATAAAAATAACTTGTTTAAATAAATTTTAAATTTTTTCATAACTTGTCAAAAAGCACGCAGATTTACACGTTTATTTTATGTTTGACCCAAAATATTCAAAATTGATATGTCCTTCACACGACTTAATCCAATACTCCTGTATTCTTAATATCTGTTAAGTTCTTCGGGATATTTTCTTACATAATTGAATTTTAGGGATGATAAGTCGGCTTATGTAAAAAATCATGAGATAGACATACTTCACAGGTTTTGATATTTTATGAGGTATGTGTTTTGTATGTGTACGTGTATCGACTATTTAAAATGGAGAAAATACATTCACTAATCACAAACTTTTAACTACGAATGATATAAAATTACGAACACTAAATGTAGCATCATCATTCACTGTCAGAACAGATAATTCTTAACCACTTACCTCATAGCAATTTCCCTTAAAATTTAAATGCGTATGTAGGTATGAGACGCATTGCAATACTTTATTTTGCAAGCAGAAACACCACACGGATTAGTTTCAGAAACACCCATTTCAGTTATAAAACGATTCCAACTAAAACACTTGAAATACAATAACTCGTAAGTAGTCAATCAGGACAATAATATGCCATACTTTATTAAAAATTATTTTATATTTTCGCAAAATCAGTTATTTTAATGAATATGTGACCTGCACCATTTTCTTAAGCGCCCTTTATGCTGTCTACGGTCCCAATTTTATAAAAAATGTTCTTCGGTTTTTAGGGGAAAAAATTAAATTATTAATGATTTAAAGAAAATAAAAATGGCCTATATTTGACACAAAATTTTGCAATAAATAATCATGATTTTGAAAAGTTGAACATGATCTAATTTAAAGGTCTGTTATTGTGAACACATTTCACTAAAAAAGTGTATGTTCATAATTGTAATTGTAGAAAGACCAGTGTGACCAGATTCAGCTGTGACGCTGAATTTGTTCAATTTCGAAAACGCAGGTTTTCAACCAACATGAGACCTACGTCTCTTAAACGTCCGTCATCAACAAAACTTCATCAAAAACAATGGAGTTGTTTTTGAGAAAAAAAAATTTTAAACAAAAATAAAAAATACATGTTTTACGGAAAATTACACGAAAAATACTCAAATTTTCCAAAAAATCCTCATGACCTCATTTCAAAATCTATATTTAAGAAACAGATTTTATTAATGAGAAATTTCTGTCTTTAATATTTTGAAGATGCCGATTTTCTTTTTTTATTACTTTCGAGAAATTAGAATTTTCAACCAACATGAGACCTGTGCCATTATCTTAAACGCCCTTCGGACTATCCAACAACAAACCTTAATTAAAGTGGATGGCGCCATTTTTGTGAACATTTTGAAAATGTCCCAGGGTTTTGTGTAAAATTCGCCCCAAAATTAAAATATTGATTTCAAATTCGAGGAGCCATATCAGCCAGATCGATCGAGGTATATCAATTTTGGAAAAAATACGCTGAACAGTTTACCCGCTATCGTTGTTTACAGACTGACAGATGGGCGGACCGACAGAGTTTCGCCGTCAATTGACTTTTCGGTTTCGAAGACCCACAAACCGTGGATTTTGGCTACTCCACGTGTGAGAGGATTTTTTTTTCTAAATTAAGAAACTGGGTTTCGTTACCGGTGCCCTTTAATAAGAGTTTTTCTGCCGAAAATTCGCCGTTTTTTCGCGCTGCATTATGTAACTATCTCTTCCTAAGAAGTTCTTTCTTAAGCATGAGAAAGTCAAAATATTATGTAAATCTTAAATGGTCAATTATCGTAGGCTTGAAATCCTGGTATTTAAACGTACAAAGACGTCTTCATCCTTATACATGGTATTGTAACGTATTAGCCAGCGTGCCTCGTGGCATCTATTTGGGGACGCTTGCAGAGATTACCTAGGCCACAGGAAGAAGGGTTTTTCGTAAGGGAAAACGCGGAAACGGAGACACAAGGCTTTGGGTGTCTTCCGGCTTATAGAAGCCTTTCACTGTTAAACAAGCGAGGGGGTGGCGTGACGTAGTAGGTCACGTGAGCCTCGCCTATATAACAGAGTGTGCAGGCCAGTGGGTGGGTTCTGGGAGACAGAGGGAGAACCTCGTGCGTGTGCACAAAACTTGGCGCAACGACGGTGGCATATGCGAGCCAGGCTCGCGAGGCTCGAGGTCACTAGTTGTACGAAAGCTGCGGCTTTAGGTCCTTGGGTGACTGGGCGGTCACGGGGGAGCGATGCTGTGTGCGTGCTCCGAGGTGAAGAGTGGTTGAGTGCCACGATTCACGCGATTCTCATCGGATAAGATCGCTCCTGCGATCGAGGCAAACCACCGTTGGTGCGCCAGAACGGACTTTGTGTCCCAGCTGGACATCCGGTCACGGAACGCTAGGCTTTTGTGCGCGCTTGAAAAGTGAGTGGCGAATGCCACAATCAAAACCGTCTTCAATCGGGTTTGGATCGCTCCCGCGATCATGGGATAGGTCTATCAGAGCTAGGGTGGTAAGTAGATTATTAAGTGTATATATTTGTTTTGTTTTCTTTTGTTATAAATATATTGTTATACGAAAGCTCTGTGTCTGTGGTCGCTGTGAGTATCCATGACGTCACAGTATCTTCATTAAACTCCTAGTAAAGATACCCGAATCCTGGTACATTTGACAACACTGTACTATTTTTGCATTCTCGCATAGTACATGTGATATTGAGAGCGTTATATAATGTTGCGTGAAAATGGCAATTTTGGGGCAGAAAAATTCATATTGTATAATTTGACAACAACACGAGGCTCGTTGATAATTCGTCATCTGTGACGCTGTCATTCAATCGGGAGTTCGAACGACAGTACAATGAGGCCACTTAAGTGACGTTCAACCTCCCGATTGGTTGACAGCATCAAAGCTTGGAACAGACAATGGACCACGTGTTTTAAACGAACTATAGATTTCAAAAAAGGGGATAATCCTTGTTCTTATATAAAGTAGTATACTATACATCCTCTAACTAGTTTTGTGTGTTCACCGTCCTTGACAAGAAACAATTTAAAAGAAACATTTCCTCAAAAAAGGCTCCAACTTTTTTCATTAAACTTTTTGTGCGGATAGTGTTACATGTGCTGAACAACAACATACACGCCATTTTTATTTGGTATTTTGATTTTTCAAAAACTACAGAAATGTATTCTTTTAAATATCTCTTACGTCTGTGTTATTTACATTACGAACATTTTCCATACATTATTGTATTGGAAAATACAAGTGCTTTAAATGATTTGTCAAGAACGGCTGCAAACCTTTCAATACAAATTTCCGCACAGAAATGTTTTACTCTTCTAAAATATTCTTAAAGAGGTATTTCAATTTTACTGTGAGGAGATGGAAAAATTGTGAAAATGTAGAACAATATTATTTTGGCGCCTCGGTCAAATACTATATCTTCATAATATTTGCCTCGATTGTGAGTGGGTGGGGGGACAATATCGAATTTTTAACCTTCACTAAAGAGATAAAAAAAAAACTAAGTAGTGCGAGAAAGCATATGGCATTCTGCTGCACAACTATATATGAAGCTGTCCTATAATAGGCATTTTATAGGTAGATTGCCTAGCCAAGGCTACCTATTGTTATTCCATGGATTTCAACACGTCACTTCCGTGGAAAGGAACGATCGCTGGTTGGTAGCCTTGATACTTTCATTTCCTGCGTGGCCGTGTAGAGGAGAACAGCGCTTAGTGCGGCTGGGTAACCTGAAACCAAGATGAGGTAAGAATTTAGTAATCTGAAAATATTAGTGTCATCTTCAAACACTCATGTCCGTATTGTAATTACGATGTTTCTAATTTCATATTGGGACTAAATTAAAACTACTTTAGCCGTTTTTAATGTAGCACAGTTGCGATTCTTGCAGCGTGAATTGCACGTTGGCTTGTTTCTTTTAAAGGAAGTTCCAAAGCAATTCCCTATGATGGTTTTTATATGCATGTATTATCTGAAACATGATGTTAACTTAAACTGAGGGAAATCGATTATTTAGTCTTTTTTTAATGTTGAAAGTAATTTATTTAGTAAGAAATCTCTTGTACACGTGTGCACCCAATGCAAATGTAAGAATTATTTCTTTCACCTTTAATACAACACTATAATAAAACAGAAAATTATATATTCGTATTGTTTTTTATTTTATTTTTTTTTTCTTTCAACAGAGGCATACTTTTCAAAACTAACTAGTTTTTAGCGTTGCGATTCTTCTGGCAGCGTGAATTGCACGGTTGCTCGTTTCATTTAAAGAAGTTCCAAAGCAATTCCCTATGATGTTTTTATATGCATGTATTATCTGAAATATGATGTTAACTTTAACTGAGGGAAATCTATTTAGTAATGGCTTTCTAATGTTGAAAGTTATTTATTTATTAAGTATTGTATACGTTTGCACACGATGCAAATGTAAGAACGGGAATAATTACTCCTTCGCTTTTGATACAACGCAACATAATAAAGCAGAAAACTTTATTCCTACTAATTTTACATATATATTTTTTCAACAGAGGTATACTTAACACAACCATATGCAAACACACAAGGTACAAGCAGTTTTCGTTTCATTTGATCTGAGTAATTTTTCTCAAAGGAACTTCCAAAGACAATTCTTATATTTACAATAATTACATTCCTAATTATCCAGAACTATGAAGGTTGTGTTCAATCAAATACTAAAATAGCGGGTTTGGGAGAGATTTAAAATCCCTGTGTTCATAAGAATTTAATCAAGGAGCTTCAAAAAATTCACTAAAGGAAAGAAGTTTTACTACTACATTAATTGTATATATATTTAGTTAGTAACTATAGTAATTTCATGGATCAATGTCAATTGCTTGTGGATGAGTCTTTAAGTTTCATTTATGCTATAAGAGTGCACTATAATTCCCTAAGTTTGTTATGTCCAACTCATGACATTAAAGGTACTTGGCGTGAGTGCATTTAGTAATAGCTATTTCATGTATTAACTAATGTTTTTAGTAATGGGTATTTATCTGGCAATGTGACATTAACTTAGTAAATCAAAACCTTAATTTCATAAGTTCCAATGTAATTTTGATGTTTGCATGTATCATCTGATTCATGATAACGTTAACTAAGGGGAGTGCCTTTAGAAATTGTAATGAACTTATTTCTAAACTGCTTTTTACAGTTCTAAAGTTTCCCGTGACACGCTCTATGAGTGTGTGAGAGAAGTGTTGCGGCATTCCCAAGAAAAGAAGAGGAACTTCTTGGAAACTGTGGAGATCCAGATTGGCCTGAAGAATTATGATCCTCAAAAGGATAAGCGTTTCTCGGGCACTGTAAAGTATGTTGAATTCACCTAAGCTTGAGGTGCTTTTATTGTTCAAAATTTTGAGGGAAGTTTTCATATTTATCATAAATATTACCATAAGAACACCTCATTGCTTTAGGAAGCCAGGTTTTACTTGGCGGACCTGTACCCAGGGTCTTAAAATAATTGGGGAGGTCATTAGTGTTAAGCTTTTGACCATATAAAGTCCTGAGTTACCAAAAGTTTTTGGTAAGTAGAACAAGGTTTTCAGAATAAGTTTTTCTTGAACACTGAAAGAGCTAGTCCCGAATTATAAAGAAAATCAAAGTTGTCTATCCATGCTCCTCAAAATCAGAGGTACAATTAGTATTATTAATGGTAGTGACCTACAAATTGATTAGGATTAAAGTTTAATTTTTGTTAATTTTATCCTGGTTATATCAGTCAAGATGATTGCACTCTTACTAGCCTATAAATAGTATGTTTTGGGGCTGAGAAGAGTGCACATATTAAGGGACATGTAGACAGCCTTTGTAGTTTTCTGCCAAGGTTCATAAATGCACCCACAGAAGTTATTTCACCAACAGTAGCTATTTCTTAATGAGTAAATCAATCATTTCTTGTAACGTTATTTTAACTCTGTTTAGGTTAAAGCATATTCCCCGTCCTAAGATGCAAGTGTGTATATTGGGTGACCAACAACATTGTGATGAGGCGAAGGCCAATAATGTACCCTTCATGGACGTGGAAGGCTTGAAGAAAATGAACAAAAACAAAAAACTTGTAAAGAAGTTAGGTGAGTGGAAATTAATGCATGGCGAGTCAATTATGATATCAAACTTAAAGATCTGTTTAACAGATAAGATTGATTGCAATACTTAATTACCTCAAAAGTTTGCTGGCTTAGTCTACAGCTCTGGGAAAGTGTACTTTATAAGTGTTGTGTGTTCAACAATAAGTAACTCTCACCACTGCTTCATGCAATAAGAGAAATGTTTCAAAAGGGAACGCTTTTAAACCGAAGCAGATTAAACTAAATAATTGAGATCATGCAAGGTTTTACATTAAATTGCTGGAATTCAGGTTAAAAATCTGATTTTACATGTTCAAATTAAATATTTTGAAAGAGAATTAAGTAATTTAAGAGTTGTTTAGGTTTTGCAGGACAAAGTAACAGATTATTTGGTAGGTTAAGAGTTACAGTTGGAATTTTCTTTTCAGCCAAGAAGTATGATGCTTTTTTGGCCAGTGAAGCACTAATTAAGCAGATTCCCAGACTGCTGGGTCCTGGCTTGAACAAAGCAGGCAAATTTCCTGGGTTATTGTCGCACCAGGAAGGAATGATGGCAAAGATTGATGAAGTAAAGGCAACTATCAAGTTTCAAATGAAGAAGGTACTTGACCCATAACATTGACTATAATTTTTGCTGAGTACAAGAGTTTTGAAATGTAGAATTGATGTATTTTTTTTTTTTTCTCTCTCTCTCTTTGTTTAGGTTTTGTGTCTGTCTGTCGCAGTTGGTCATGTAGGAATGACTGAAGATGAACTTGTACAAAATGTCCATTTGGCAATCAATTTCTTGGTATCTTTGTTGAAAAAACATTGGCAAAATGTGCGTTCGTTGCATGTAAAATCCACAATGGGACCTCCCCAGAGACTGTATTAAATGGTTAATAAAACAATGATTCTGATGGATGAATGTCTATTGATTTGACCTTTCTTCCTTAGATCCTTTTATTTCATTAATTTCTGAAATTGATAAAAAGTTATGCTGATATAGTGTTTAGTAAAATGTAAAGTGTCTGGTTAGGTCTTAAGTTACTTGTGAAGCTTAACATGAATGTTTATTTCCTTTGCATGAATTTTTTTAAATATCAAATTGTCAGATTCTTTAGAATCAAGTTGTAAAGGTTGTGGGGTATCAAAGGTCATTTCATGCCAGTATGTTTTGAAAACTAACAGGAATGCAAACTGAAAATGCTGGTCTTTTAATAATTTTTTGAGAAATTAACTAATGTAATAAAAATACATTTTTTGAAGCGATAGTTTCTGGATGTAAGTTTGCTCTGAGGAAGTCTGAAGTCTTGACTTTGTTCCAGCTACAATGTGAAAAGGAAAAGATGGTCATCTTTAATTTACCTGTAGACTTGAAAAATGTAGAAAATTCTATCAAATTTTCCTTTAGTAAGGAAACCCATCTGATAAGATTTTGGTCGTGCGTCCCAGGTTGTCACACTGAGTAAGGAGTTTATCTGTCTCTCATTCCCCCTCTCCCTTTAATGTTATCATTTCCTCTGATAAGCACTCCACAAGGTCTAACTTCAGTATTGTTGCTGAGTTCACTGTACATGTATGAGGAAATTGGTCCTTATTAAAGTTTCATCTTGTTTTGAAAGATCAATGCTTTAATCATGACAGATTCATTCAAGTTAAGAATTGGTTTGAAGTTTGTGTTGAGGATTCTGTTGGTGCCATTTCCTGTGCTCCATTCCATTGGAGAGTGATTACAATAATCATGTGGGTGTATGGTTATTTTTGTGTGAAATTCCTTAATCCTTTGTGCACATTAAACATTGAAATAAATGGAGCTTTATGAACTTATTGATATTTTTTACTGCAATAACATTGAATCGCCTTGATTTAATTTTTAATATATTAAATTTATTTGACATGCTAAAGCTCTGAAGTATACCTGTAATTATTACTGAATTATAATAAGTTTTGCACACGTATGACCACACCCTTTTTTTGTGCTAAGTGATAATATGGTGAAGAAACAACTTCCTCATTAACTTGGGAAGTAGGCAATGTACTTTTTATCAGTTGTCAAGGAGACTTAATTGAAAAAGTTTGTGTTTTTCATCCTGTGAAGATATTGAAGTATGGCATTCCAAGTGAATACTAATTTATTGAGTGTTATATATTTTAGATTTAGTTGACAGAGAAAATATGAATATGGTATCACCTTTAGTACTTCTTTTTCTGCTGTTACCAGTTTATGTGGAAGATTCAGCAGCATCTACTCTTTCGTTGACAAGTGAGTTATAACACGAGCCTCCCAAGTAATGTTGTCATTAGATAAATGTGTGAATTCCCTCTGAATCAATGCATGTTCTTGTGAGTTTTTCTTTGACTGTGAAGTGATCCAAGTTCTGTTATATTACACTAAATTAACTCAAGTATTTGTTTCATTTGGTACGACACCTTGTGTGTGGACTCCCAAAATTTATCCACTAAGTTCTGCCATTACTGTGGATGTGGAGAAACATTCCTTTTCTTAAAAGCTCAAATATGAATCGTCTTCCACCCATTGCTATTCATGTGAATAATTGTTAATTACAATTCTATTTTAATTACCTACTGCACATCCATCTCATTTGAGACTATGCATTAATAATTTTTATTCTGCCTCTGAAAAATTTAAGAAATTTAAATACCTTACCCAGACTTCTGTTTTTATATGACATAATGAAATTAAGTTGGTGAACCTTGCATAATATTGTTGGTTGTTTTCAGTTCAGTCACTGTTTTTTGTTATGCTAATGAAATGAAGAGAGATATCAAGAATCACATTTTTTGTAGCACTGAGAAGTTGTTTTCAAGCATCAGTGTTCAGATTTCAAAAATCTGTATACGCATAGCTATTAATGTATATTTGTATTGGGTGAATCGGAAAGTCAGGGTCATATCCTACGAGAGCAGATGTTTCTCTCTTTTTTTGAACGTTTTACATTAAAATTTTCAGTCTTACGCAAGCAAAAGAAAAGTACATGTAGAAATTAAAAAAAGTACTAAAACATTAATCAAGCTAAATCAAACACTAATAATGACTTATAAATAGCCGCATCTAATGTAAGATGTCATAATTCTTTTTACAATTGTCAATCTTGCAAACATTGCATTTTTATAACTTAAAATTTTAATGAAAGCTACTTCAAAATGTACTTTGCAAAATCCATTATGTATGTAGCGATACTTCAGTCATTATTTTATGGTTTATAGAATGGAATTTTTATAAAACAATAAAAATGATGATTGGTCCCACTCTCCTTTTTTGTAATCTTTAGTGAGTGGATGTATAAATAATGTAGCATACTTTTAAACATTTTCAGTTAAAGGTACTGAAATTTTACAGTAAATATGTTTTCACAGTACGTAATGTGAAACGCAATGCGAAGTAGTTTTAAATTAATTTTATCTATAATTCTTTTGACTTGAGATTTTCTGTGTATTAGATATGACCAGCAATTTATTTATATATTTCCATTTATCCTAAATTTTCCGGGTTTTCCAAGATGTAGTTAATAAGTAACATTGAAAGACATTAGAGAAGTTCATAAAATACTGTAATGTACATTCTAGTTTATTTCATTTATAGGCAACGGCAGTAATAGAGGATTTACTTTTTCTGAAGTCATGAAGAGTATTAATTACTACATTGTTTCTTTTAAAATATTACGCTTTGAGACTGTAGTGTTTTGGAATTTTTTTCTATTTGTTTAATAAAACAATTTTTTCCAATAATTAATTTATAAGATTATATACACAATATTACAGCACTTGTTGTACTACTTGTACATCGTTTGAAACATTTAAGGGTAGTTCTCTTTATGATGTTTTAAAAATTGATGTTCTTCATTTAGGGGCCATCCATAAATTATGTAATGCAAATTTGAGAACATGTTGATTTCCCCTCCTCTACCAATTACTTAATGCATGTGATCCCCCCCCCTCTACCACCACCATTTACAAAGGGAAAAATAAATTATACTATAACAATGAAAACAATTTGTATTAATTTTGTGTTATGTATTAAGTTAATAATAATATGAGAATGCGAGGCTAACAATAGGATTGGGGACAAATTTTAGGTGAAGGAAACAAAAAAAGCATTGGCGAGAAAATTTCTGGCTAAAGCACATTTGGAGGGACACATGGACAAGAATCTATGTTCTATAATTCTATTCTAGAATATATAGTTTCAAATATTTTCTTCATAGTTTTAAGGTTTCAAATAATTACCATTGGTGAAAATATTCATGTAAATTGTTTGTAACATTTATGTGTCATAACTTTTTAATCATATATTTTTAAATTTAATTTGTTAATGTAAGAAAGTAATAACTGAATTATTTCAGCAAGCTGAAAACTATCCTCCCCCCCGTGTAACACAGCAGTACAAACACTTCCTCACCTCACCCGCCGCCGCCTTTACCATTACCTAATTTGTGGACGAGCTCTAATGCAACTTATCGGTAACAGACTAGTATCTTTTTTTTTTCCATCTAATTTAAAAATGTTAAAGTTATTGAAAATTTAATAACAGGTATTTGTGAATCTGTCAATTGACTATTTAAAATAGAAATATTTGGAAAGATTGGCTACTTTTGAAAATAAAACCCCAAATCATTCTCTTTTCCTTTACACCCACTATTGGCTGCCCAAAGAAACATGTGTTCACAATAGATTTACCATGATATCTCATTCATTAGTAGTAGAACTTAAGTATACAAGTAATTATTTTGTGCTAAAAACCATAAAATATGAAAATCTTTCTTGAGCTTGCTTTTATATAATTTTTTAAAATAATTATTTATTAAATAAACAGCATTAATTGCATTAACTCCACTCTTGTGACACTTCATATCAGAATATTACAGTTTGAATTTTATGTTAGGGATACATTTTTGACCTGTTTTTATTTCTGATTCTTTTTTAATCTTTCTGAATTTTTGCACATCAAAGCACGATGTGTCTCAACAAACTTTTACATATATCACCTGAATACAATTTCAATTATTACATAATTTTTATTGTTGAAGGAGTTAGAAGATATGCATCACCTGTTAGCTCAAAAGAAACTGGAGGTACTGAAGAATCAAATCCAATAAATTCAATTGCAGGTTAGTTTGAAAAGTTTTTCTTGCATTAGTTTTAATGTACAAGTTTGTGAAAGATTTTTAAAGAAGTATTTCTAAATTAATCCTTGATTGAAAAGAAATTTATATCTAATGAACAAAATCAGAATAAAAGTTTTTGATACCTATTACACTTTTGCATCTGTGCAACAGTTAGTTACTTTGGCCAGAATTTAAAAATTAATGCATTGAAATTATGATAATCTATAAATATGATATATTGTTGATCAATTACTTTGATTGATTTTTGTAGCAATTGTAGTCTTGTTCGGCACATGAAATCCTTCGAAACTAATGAGTGAAAATAAATGGAATTGCTTGCTTTGATATGTTTACATAATAGTAATGTCAGTGTCTCTGTATATTTTAGTGTCCAGTACTACTTTCCCCAAGGATGATGAAAATACAACACATATATATTCTGAAACAAATGTACCAGATTCAGAAAATTATACTGATATAAGTGATGCTTCCAATAGATCATCTCCATGGAATCTAGAAACTCAAGTGTCTTCAGAACCTCCTGTTAATAATTCACATGATTCTAACTTTACTACTACAGAAAGTTCAGAACCAGTAGAAGGAACTGAAGCGTCTTCAGAACCCCCTGAACCTCTTGTTAATTCAAATGATTCTAACCTTACTACTACTGAAAGTTCAGAGCCAACAGAAGAAACTGAAGTTTCAAGTTCTATAGCAACTACTGAATCAGGAGTTATTGACAGTTCAGATGGTTCAGAGTCTACAATAGACTCCATAGACATTTTTACAGACTCTACATCAGATTTAACAAAAGTCTTTACGTCAGATACATCAGTCTCAGCTGAAACACCTTCAGACATGACTCCAGATACATTAGTCTCTACAACAACAACAACAACAACAACCACAACAACAGAGATTTCAACATCGGTTATGCCAACTTCAACAGACATGTCAACAACAGACACCCCAACAACGGACATCCCAACAACAGACACCCCAACAACAGACACCCCAACAACAGACACCCCAACAACAGACACCCCAACAAAAGACACCCCAACAACAGACACCCCAACAACAGACATACCAACAACAGACATGCCAACAACGACTGACACGCCAACAACAACAGACACGCCAACAACAACAGACACACCAACAACAGACATGCCAACAGGCAAGCCAGATGAAGAAGAAGGTAATTGTTTAATAAAAATTTATGTTAATTTTTATTAATTATTTTTCATATCACTCAAGTTAAAATAATAAAATGCCATGAATAAACTTTCAATTTCTAAGTGTCTTTCATAATTCAATATTTCAGACAAACTTTTGATATTATAACAGCTTGAATGGTTTTCTGGTATAAATTGGTATACAAAACTCACAATATTCAAGCTTAAAAATTCATATAATAGAAAAAACATTTCAAAATAAAAAATTGAAGAAAAGCAGTTAAGAATACAATTTCATGTTAGGTTAAGCATGCTCAGTTAATTTATAGTGCAACTGATTGTACATTATTTCAGGCAGATTAAAATCTGGAACAATTGCTGCCATCATTGTAACCATTTTGCTTATTGGAATTGGCATAGTTTTATTGACTGCTCATCGTTATGGAAAATTGCGATGGTATGACATCAGTATCTTTAAACTTAAAGAGTTTTTTGAAAATATTGTTGTTTAATTCCATTTTTAATGTATTAATTTTATTTTGATTTAGGCCTCCTCAAAATCTCTTCTCAAATGGACTTACAGATCCCATTCGTCCTCAGCCTGTGACTTTAAAGAAATTTCCTGCACACTGCAGTGATATGCTAAACATTACGTCAAAGCTGAGTCATGAATATCAGTTGTTAGCAACTTTGAGTTTAGATATATATGCAACAGAAAGCTTCGTAGCTGGTCAACTACCTGACAACAAAAGTAAAAACAGATATGTCAACATTCTCCCCTGTGAGTATAAGGCGAAACATTCGAAAACCGTTTTCAATGAAAAAAACTTCGAAAGTTCTTTTGTTACAAGGAATTCACCACTGGACTGTCTCATTGTTTTTTTGATTTTTTCGGAGTTCCTGAGTATGTAATGAAAATGTATTCACCTCTCACATGGCTGCATCGTTTTCTGTCAATTTTTGAAAGTGTTGGAAATTAGTAATGTAAACGTTTTTAGATTTAATCTAAATTTTTCGGAATCAGAATTAGAAATTATCAAGGAAATCAGCATTAGAAATTCTTAAAATAGATAATAGCTCAATACCTATGAAGCTTTGAAAACCTTCAAATTCTTCAAACAGGATTGTATTTTCAAACAAAAATACACAGCCTGCACAATGAGTAAGGTGGCTAGACCTCTCTTCACAGGCTTGAACAGGGATGTCCAACTGACAAGACCTCAAGGGCTACAGCCAACACCTTTAATATGATTGCAAGCCATATTTTAACATTACTCAGGTGATCCACACCTGACTTTCCCCATACTGTTTATCTCTGCAGTTTGCCCCACTGCTCTCAAATAGGGGGGGGGGGGATATGTATTATATCAGATTATACTTCGCATAACACAATGAATCATATTGGGATGGTTTTAAATTTCTGAATTTAAAAACTTAAATCTAAACAACCTACTGTTACATAAAGGGATGTTGATCCCAGCATGACACATGAGCTAGGTCTGCAATGTTCTTGCCAGACATGGATGCAAGGGTTTTTCACTTTTGAGTAATTTTTAAGTTGACTTTCACTAATAACCTTTCATAGGACGCAATAAATAGGACCAGTGACCACATGCCATATTCTCGCCAAATATGGATGCAAGGGACTTTCACTTTTGACTAATAATGTTTCATGGGCAATGTTAAATGGCACCATGGTCCGCATGCAGCCTGCGGGCAGCCAGTTGGAGAATCCCTTGCTAGAAGCACTGGGGTCCATATCATCACAGGAGGGATCTTTCCCTTTTCATGGAGTCGCTCCTGACTCGATCAGCTATGTACATCACTCACTAATGACTTGGAACCTATTCAATATTTTATGGAGGTCCACTCAACTGGTTTGTCAGCACCAGAGGTTTAGAGATCTGAGTTTCCTTCTACAGACTAAACACTTCCCGCAGTCAGGCAGTGCCCACCCTGCAGTTTGGTATGACCCTTGATGACCTAGTTTCTTTTGTAACTGTTCCAAAAGCATTAAACCAGACAGCGTAAGAAGGGCTGCTTAACAGGCACAGTGAAGAAGTTATCTGGGGTTAGCTTAGAATGAATCTTGTGTGCTGAAGCGCACAATCGTTACAGGCAAAAGCTATAAAATTAATGGAAGTAAAAGTTTCAGCGTGTGCTGTTTGAAGAGTAGTCCAGATTGTTGTTTTTCTTTTCCTTTTCTTCTTCTCTCTTATTCTGACTATTCACTCACAATCATGATGACAGTAAGCAGGAGTCCCAGTGCAGCCAGGTCTCTAAGCACATTGAGCATGCAGTACACAATGGTGACCAGAAAGTGGAGCCTTGGTTCCAACTTCAGGGGCGACCCTCAAAGCCTGAAGAATGACAGTTGATCACACTTTTAAGTTACTTCTGTTAAACAAAAATAATTATTTTCAGAAAATATTCATTGAAAAGTTCATTGCTCTCCCCTTCATTTTGAGTCACCTGTAATTCAGTTTTTGTTGCATTATAATTTAAACCTGTTTTTTTCACAAATTCTATTTTATAACCTCCAAAATATGAACCAAATGTTTGAAATCAAGTTTTTTATTGAATGAAGAAATGGACAAAAGGTTATCACAATTTTTAAGCCTTTTAAAAATTCATAAAGAATAGAAAATTCTGAATTGTTCATTAAACTTTATTCCATTTTCACTGTTCAGTTCTTTCATATCATTAATTTTATTTTGATTTGGATTCTTCTTTGTATTACAACTCTTGGTCTTCATTTTACACAATGTTCTTACATGTTGCCATGTTTGAATATTCATTATTTTCGTATATGATAAGACGTAGCTTTGAGAAATGTCCAAAAACGTGACCAAGACATTATTAAATTAAATTAAATAGATAATAAAATTAAATAAAAATTTAATTAGATTAAACCAAGATTAAATAAATTAAGTATAATATGCAAGAACAGTGTGTAAAATTATATTAGTGATGCTTGCATATTTCAATGTGAAGTAATGGTGAAAATGGAAATTAAAAATATGAAGTTCACTGTACTTGTAAAATTAACTGTTGATTGTAGTCAAGAATTGAGAAGAAATTATATGGTATATTTGACACTTTATGTTTCAATTCTTATTTAGATTTTGAAATGTTGTATGAACACCACTTGTTTTCCTTTTTCAGATGATTCTACTAGAGTCAAACTGGCATCTGATGGTGATGATTTCTACAGTGATTATATTAATGCTTCCTACATTAAAGTGAGTTTGATTTTTTTCATATTATTGTCATTAGAAGCTTAAATTTTAAAGGCTAGAAAATGAATTTGCAAATTGATAGTCTTAAAGTTTCGAAAAGGAACAGTAGCAACTTTGAAGGTTCACAAACAACAAAATTTTCATAGAGATCAACATCACATCTTTTCTGGTTGTTTTAATTCTCCAGTATACTTTATCTGTCTCCATAGCATCCAACCTGTGTTTTCTTCACAAGTAGGTCATGAATATAGATATCTTCTTGACGTCAAATATATTCTAAGTCTTGACTCATTACACTTTCCATTGGTCTATGCCAATGCCAAGAGTAGGTGTCAGTGGGTGTTGTGTGGTGAGGCATGGCGTTTTTGCATAGTTATCCCAAGATGTGTCTAATATTGGCGGGGGGGAGTGGCATAGTAGATTTTTGTTAAATAGTAATCATATTTGATATTATATTGTATATTATTTATGTTCTATAAATATGTACTGAGTTAAGTACTAAGATATGATACTATACAATATTATTGTTGAAATAATTACATAATTCAAACATAAATAAATATCTAAATCAATTATGCCAAAAAAAGAAAGGTAAATGACAATATAATTATAATAGGCTTTTGGATATGGATGGAATTATAATAATATAATAGGCTTTTGGAGGGAAGCATGGCCACCATGCCCCTCTCCTACTCCTGGATCTGCCAGTGTATATGGGCCTAGGCGTGCGCATTAGGGTGTGGGGGGTGATGTTCACCTGAAAGTTTTCAAAGGGTCCCTGATGCCATGGAAGTAAGGAAACATTTCATTTTCGTGAATAATATGTTCAATCTCTGATTTTCCCATTTTTAACCTGACAATTTGGGGAATAGTTTTACTACATTTACAGAAGAGGCTCTTCAAGCTGTGACTTGATTGAACATAAACTAAATTGTATTTATTATCATGAATATTCTATTTTCATGATCCTTGTTTGTATTATTTATTAACTAGTCAAGTATGTTGTGTGTAAATGAAAAAGTTCAATGGAAAACAGGCACCAGAAAACTACTTGCTCATCTCGTTCTAGGCTGCGCACACCAATGCTACTGGAGATGGGGTATTCAAAATATTTTTCATGAGATGGTCTGTCGTTTATTGGTCATTTTACTGATAATATTTCTCCAAATTCGTTCAATAAATTTGCTGAACAGTTAAGTCTACATTGAAATTGGTTCAGAATTATCCAGTTCATTGTTTCTGTGATCAAGGTTGTTAAGTTTAAGGTGGGGTAAAACAAAAATTACATGTTCAGACATTACAAAAAACCATGTTTGGACACTCACTCTATTACTTATAAACTCACTCTATTATACTCTCTCTATTACACTCACTTTTCACTACGTAAATCGAAACCATAGTACTATATCGATGAAATCATAGTATCCTATGACTCTTCAGACTAAAACATTTGTGAGACAATAAGAAAGTCGTTCTTTATCTTTATTCCAAAATACTGCTTCCTACTCACTCGGCTGTATGAATACGAACGGAAATATGGGGATGGATGGAGGCATGGAGAAAATACCCACCATGTTTCCACCGTGGATGGAGGAATGATAGAGGCTAGAGGCATAGGGAGGGGGGGTGATATATGATTGGAAGAGCCATTTTTTTTAAATATTCCAGAGGCTCAATGTAAAGTACTCCCCAAACTTTAAGTTTTGGTTTCAAATTCAAGGAGCCTATACATCAGCTAGATCAATAGGAGAATGTCAATTTTGGAAAAAATCTGCTGAATGCTTTAACCACCAGTGTTGTTCACAGATGGACAGACATTTTGACATCAATCGATTTTTCAGTATCAAGGACCCACAAAACATGGATTTGGTCTACACCACGTGTTGAAGAATTTTAGGAACTGGATCCACTTATCCATTACCCGTCAATAAGAGTTTTTCTGTCGAAAATTCACTGCTTTTATAACTTTCTCTCTACTGCATAAGCAGTAGCAAGAAAGTAAAACGAGGCATATTCCCAAAAAATCTGCCTCCTAGGGCAATCTGTTGCCAAGATACAATGAAAAACGTGTTTTTCATGTTTTATTTGTAGTCAGCTATGTCAGCTACATCAATTTGTATGTATTAGGCTGAAAAAAATGCAGAGCCTGAGATAAAAAATTGTATTTGAAGATATTTTTTGTGGTTTATATCCTAAAGAATGTCACATGAACCAGAGAACATGTGACATTCTTTAGGATATATACATACATTTTCCATCAATGCCCTTAATTTAATGTTTGAATATGTCCTATATAAACTCCCTATTAAATGGAAGCCTAATATATGTGAAGAAAAAATTTGTTCCTTTCTGACCAAGAGTTCACTGAAGTGGTTCACCAAGTGTTGTTTGTGAAAAATGGCGCACTCAAGGGCAGTAACATGTTTTCAGCAAATAATATCTATACTTTTATACTCGATATAGTAATATTTTCATCAGGTGTCAGTATGAACAGCTCATTACAAAAAAATTCACTTACATGTACATTATTTTACAACACATTGCTGGATGACAATAAAAGATTAAATTAAATTCACAAATTTCAGTGCCAAGTAAAATCTTATGTGCTACATAACTCTTTCAATACAATGAGATGAGTATGAAAGTGGAAAGCCATATTAATTTTAACCATGATATTGAATGTATAAATTACCTTTCGGACTGCATTATTCTAATGCATCAAGATTCGTATGCATCAAGATTTGTACCTCAACTTCTGGGTCAATGATCCCTATCTCGGACAGGTTTTGTTCAGTTTCCCTGATCCTTTGAATGAAAGCTGGAATGGCCCTTTGATTTGCTTCTGGGCTTAAATGTAACTCCACTATCTGTACATGTTTTTTAAAGTACTGCAGGGAACTTAGTTATTCAAATTAATTATCATTCTCCATGTCCCATTTCTCCCCACACTTTGTCATGCACAGCTTTCAACTGTTTTTGACATTACTAAAACGAAATACAAATGACAAAAATAAAATGAAATAAATAAATAAAACAGATTATTGATGCAAATTTAAGGAGGTGACAGGATCAAACAATAAAGTCTGGAGTAACTTTCTGAATCTCCAATTAGAGTACCTTGAGAGGTCATTCAAATTGTTTATTAGAAAACATAAAAATCATTGTTTCTTAAAAATATATTATTTTGCTGTAGGGTTATACCAACGAAATAGAATATATTGCAACTCAAGGTCCCAAAGAAGACACATGCAGAGACTTTTGGAAAATGGTGTATCAAGAACCAATTAAAGTTATTATTATGGTGACACAGTTAGAAGAACAGGGCAAAGTGAGTAAATGCTTTTAATTCAAACACAAATTTAAGAATATACAACAAAAACAGGTTCTCTAGTAATTTAGATTAATTTTGTGATAAACATAAATTTTGTATTTAAAGAATTATGTTTATTATTTATAAATGTGTAGCCTTTTCACCTTTTTTTTAATGACTGAATGTTTTTTTATTGGTTTTAGCCAAAGTGCTATAAATACTTTCCCAATTTAAGAGAAAACCTGGAATTTGAAGATATTATTGTTCGATGTACTACTGAGCTACATTTTCCAATATATACATCTCGAACTCTTATTTTAACTAAGGTATAGTATTGATGTTTTTCCTGTCACTAAAGTTGTAGGCTCTTACAATTACATATAATAGATCAGAAATTAAAATAATGAAGAGACTTTGGTGCCACAACAAATAGCATCATGTTAGCTTCTAAATGATAACTCATTCGGTGTATGCTGCCTAGACCAAGAGGAGAGGGCAACTACATTTCTGGCCCTCTCTAATATTAAGTATTTTTATTTTCATGTGACTTATTTTACTTAAACTACAATTTTCTGTCAATTTTTAAAAATATTTTTGGAGAGTTATAGGAAGGGTCAATTCTATCTTGACCACATTTTTTCAGAATTACATAATTTTTTTGTTGTTTTCATCTAAATTTTGAGGGGGTCATATCCTACAGAGGATCAACTTTAAATTGTCGATCTTACAGGGGCGGATCAGAAAGGATCTGTGTAATTTGTGTTACAACATAAGTACACAATGTACAATTTTCAAATTTTTCTTAAATTTTATGAATTTTTATGAACAAAACGAACAAATGACTTAAAACTTATGAATTTTTTTCTTGATTCATTGAATGTTTTTTGCATTATACATTTAATATGATTTCAAAAAAGATAACTAAAAAGAGTGCAGGAGATCAAAACTGCATAGAGTCCCACAAGACCACACCACAAATTTTTTAGCGCCTTTGAAATAATGCCCTAAATATGATACCAAAAGTCAGCTTACCATCTAATATGACATCCAGGTCGCTATCCTATCAACTCTCCTCAAAGTTTCTTCAATATTATAATCTGCTATTATTTTATTCCTTTTTCTAGTAAATCACATAACAAAGCATTTTCTCACATAATAATGTAATAAAAATATAATAATCATCATCATTGTGAATCAAGACTTATTATACCTGATAATCCAAACACAATTCGGGAACTCTATGCATGCAAACTCTACTTGTTGCCACTTTCTCACATTGCATGATATGCTGTTTTGTCTGTTAATCCTATTGATGTATTTGTATATGTACGGTACATTTTTTCAGGTAATCCGAATGGACCACACCCCCCATTAGTTCGGATTACCGGGTTTCTACTCTATTAGATAATATTTTAAAAAATAAAAAAATTTAATGAAAATGTTTACACCCTTGAAATGGGCAAAGTATTTAATAAATTGAAAATCATAAATCCAGGAGGTGTTATGGTTTTCAATAATAGAGAAATAATTATGTACCTTGTAGGAATGTGTTTTATGAAGTACCTTTTTTAATGTAGTATTGTTATGTTTTTGACTGAATCTCTTTGGATGATTTAATTGTAAGAGAATCTTTTCATGATGAAGGGAGAGAGAAAACGATCAATCATTCACCTACATTTCCGAGAATGGCCAGATTTTGGTTGCCCAGCAACTCCTGACTTAATGCTTCAGTTTTGTCAAGTTATGAGGCATAACATTGTTCTTGCTCAACCCGGAATTACTTTAATTCATTGCAGGTGTGTCAATCATTTATTTCTTATCTAATTTGCAAAACTTTTACCAATGCATATATAACAAGTAGAATACTATAAAATGAATTAATAGAGTGACATTTTTATGAATCTATTTAACAAATTGTTACTTTATGATTAATGACAGTGCTGGAGTGGGTCGAACTGGAACTCTTATTGCTGTTGATATTTTATTACAACATATAAAAGAAAACAAGAAAATAGATATATTTGGAACTGTATATAAATTGCGAAAGCATCGAATGAATATGGTTCAATCTGAGGTAAGATTATGAACTTTTTAATATTTCTGAACATAAAATTTATGCTTTTATCTATCTGAGAAATTCTTAATTGGCTTATGAGCAATTTGATTCGCAGGCTCAATACGTGTATATATACAAATGTATAAAAGAAGCATTAGAAGACCCTTCTTATTTATCTAGTGGTAAGTACATTTTTAAACAACATATTTTTGCCTATTTCCCATATACATGTTCTACCAGAACCTTCAGAATATCTAGAAAAAAATTGGATAAAAACAAAGATTAAGTTTTGGAATTTTTGACTATGTCGATTAGAGCAAATTGTTTGAAGATCATTCATACCATGAGTCCATACCCAATGAGTCCTAAGTGACAGAAGATAATGAATACTTAACAGGAGAAAAAAGATGAAATTGTGGTATTCTGAAGTGTTCTTCAGCAGGGGAGTTAAAAAAATTTTAAATTTCTCTTTCACAGTCCGACGTGGTAGGGGATTATTTTTCCAATCAGAATCTTGTTGCAGCTTATTAAATTTCACAGAAATTGGTAAGCAAGCTTTGATCATTTTGAAGCATCTGTAGCAAACAAATCAATCCTTGAGAAACAGTGCCTGTTTGAAATAGATGCAAACTGAAGTACTAATAATTTGATACTCTAAAATACTGAGTATAAATCAAAATGCCTTGATTTCTTGATTTTTTATAATAAAAACAATACCATTCCCTCTTCTGAGTTTCACCATTTCATTCAACAGCCTCCCAACACACTTCCTGAGTTGAACAAAAGTTATTCATTAAAAGTTGGGTGAAATTATAAATAGATTTTAAAACAATTTTTCAAATTTAAGGAGACTAACAAAAATCTGAATTTTTAACATTTTCTAAATACTTAAAGTTTTTTTAATAAAATTATGCATACATCATTTTGAAAATCTTTTAATAGATTTTTAAAAACAGTCTTCCTTCATCTGCATATGTCAAAATGTCAGTCACTTTAGTTACAAGTCTCTCGCTTAAATTATATCTTTTGAATGAATTTATCTAGAAGTCTCTGTTTTTCATTAAATGATAGTGAAAAGTTCATTCTTTAATACGGTTCTGTTCTTAAGAGTTGTGTTTACTTGTTACCACAACAAGGTGATTGATGTCGAAGATGGATTAACTTCGACTTTGATTTCTGAAAAACTATGATTTTTAATTGCAAAAAAATCCTCCTTAAGGCTTCCATATTGTAGTTTTACTGAAACAGTACAATATTTTGGTTAGTAGCTAGTTTCGTAATGGAAAAAATTAAAGAAATTCGTATGATGTGGGTTATAAATTGGAAAATTTTATTATTGCTAAAAATTGCCTGCCATTAATGTGCGTCTTATAACCGGTGAAATGCGATAAGTGCTCCGCCACAACGGGTTTACAAACCACTGTGGAGAAACGGAGTGGAGGTTAGTCAAGAACGTGAAACGTCAGTGGTATTTTCCGGCCATTACACGGGCAGCAGACTCGTAACGACGTTAAATAGCACTCTAAGATGTAATTTTTTGTTAATAAGCACCGACAACTGTAGTGACATCGGAATTTGAAACCTCATTGGTTACGGGAACCCCCTTTCCCCTAACAGCCGTTAGTTGTCAAGTAGGCAAATATTATTCGGACAAGAACTAAACGGCATGGAGTGTCAACAGGTGGCCGAAAAGGTACGTTCAGGTAAAACGCTTGATGATTTACGTTCATTTCGTGTAAATATCATCACACGTCCTAAAAATGTTCCGAAGTGGATAATAAGCGGACCCACTAGCCAAAATTGTACACTCTTGGAAACATAAAATTTCGCGTCGAAACTGCCTTGGCCCGAGAGGTTGATGGCGCT